TACCGTCAGTGATAAATGCATGTAATACTATTATAAAAGACTGTATTTACATACACATCAATACCATCATTTCACATGACCATATACACAATATAGGACTTCCAAATCAAGATAATTTTCACAAAAAAATATAATAGAATATTCCATTACCATGATCAAGGGTCTCTGTGATCGTGTGTGCACTACCAACAACTCAGTTGCTTTCTCTTTTGTCTGGTAATGAATGCGTATTTTGTCCAACATATTTTCATGCTCCTAACAAAGGTGAATGCATTTAGATATCGAGCATGGTAGTGCAACACTACTCTAAACGGATGTATTTACATTGACATCAATACCATCACACAACTGATAACCTTTACATAAATACAACCCGATTACGTAGTGGAATCTGTATAAATTGTATTAAAAGGTGTGAAGTCTAGATGAAACTATGTTGTTAACATTTTGTAAGTGTGGGTCTTAAAGTATTGTTCTATTAATGGTTCACAGATGCTAGGTATTTTGTGTGTTGAAGACAAAATAATATAACATTGAGTTTTGTTGTACCGCAATGTGTGGTGTCGGGGTTGGGGGGTGGCGGTAGGGTGGGGTTGTTAATGGGGTTCAATGGTGCTGTGTATAAGAGACACGTACATGCGTATGTCAAAACAATTCTAGGTACACTTCCCCATGCAGAGCATCTATGGATGTGTTTCGTATTCGTTTTCGCGAGTGACACATTTTCCTTTCTTACGTCTCAGGCGTAAAAAGGGGCGGTGGGGTAGCTTAATGGTTACAGCGTTCGCTCGCCACGCTGAAGACCCGGGTTCGACTGCTCACATGGGAACAGTGTGTGAAGGCTTAAGAAATCAAACCAATATCTCGTGTCTCCTTCGCAATGTTATTGAAATATATCGCTAAAAGCATGGTACAAGCAAGCTGTGCCACCCAGGAAATACATGGGATTACCATCAAATCTTCTCCTCGCAATCCACTGTGTCTCTTTGAACTGAGGCATAGCCACTTCCGGGTGACCCACAATAGTGCTGAAGGTGAAGGTTGACCCGCACTTGGGAAACCCAACTACATAGAAGTACGGCAGACAGAGTAACTGGCTGGTGTTTTCTTTCCTCCAACAAGGAGGACCAGAATTCGGGTCTCCTCTGAAATAAGGAGAAGGGCCCGTCAAAGCAAGCAGATGAAGCCGTTTGTTGGAGACTGCAGTATCTAGTCATGAAACTCCAATAAACTCACTCTCAGCAATAGTAAGTTACCCGTGGGATGTACATATTGCATAAATTTATTTCGTACGTGTGCCTTAGTATTTACACTGACAGCCATACATCAAACATGGACAAAAATGTCGGACAGTTGAAGGTTAAATGATATACATGTACATGATAAGAAATAACACTTATGTATATAAATATATCTGCACGTTTTCCGTCAATGTTTATGTAATTTCAAGGACAAAATCGCGTCCACACTCTCGTCAAAATGTGAAGTCATGTGACCGATATTTCATTTAATCCAATGACAAATATTATTTCAGTATAAAAGTCATATAAAATCCCATTTAATCGTTAAACCAGGCAGTAAGATAATATCCACGAAGCTGCCATTTCGTGAGAAATCGCTCATCGGTAGTGGTGTCATACATCAACATTGTTGGACATATGTGGCAATTTCTATGAGGTGAAGGTCGGTTGAATAAAGAGTAAACACAATCACACTGTCCTGCAGATTATACTTGTATTATTAATGTATACTTTGCGTATCGTTCACATATGGTTTCATGAAACTAATTTCATTATCAACATTTAGTATTTTAAACCCAAGTAAAACTGACATAATTAATAAAAATGATATATTTAATTCTTGAAATGTATATATGCACACGTTTTTAAAGGATATGTCTTGTTCATTGAATTTGTTTATGTTGTGTTATAGACAAAACAATGGCGTATAATCATTGGCCAGGTGCGCGTTTGTCACAAATGTTTTGAGTATCATTGTTTTCGATAATTCCGTGAACAAAACATCACGAAAATATTGTGTCCTCTTTCACATCAAATTCTCGCCAAGTGATCTGAATGACTGACTGACTGAGTATGGTTTTTAGCAATATTCCAGCAATATCACGGCGGGGGACACCAGAAATGGGCTTCACAAATTGTACCCATGTGGGGAATCGAACCCGGGCCTTCGGCGTGACGAGCGAACGCTTTAACCACTAGGCTACCCCCCCCCCCCCAAGTGATCTGAGTTACGTTGACTTAGTATTAAGCATACCGGAGTGAGGCCCCCTTATCTTTATAAGCGTGTGACCTTTATGTAGCCGTTTGACGTCATAGGGGAAAATCCATTTTCAACACATATTGCGAGACACTTTTAAGATTGATTGTATAACGTTATACATAAGCACACAAACTAATTTTAATACATACCTATGTCATTCAGGTATCAGGCAGAATTTTGTTCGCTCACACTTTCCGTAAAGATGCCAAATTGAAAATATAGTAGCACAGTACTTTTATCAGTGCACGATAAAAAGCAGAGAAATTTACTGTTTTTAACGCATAACAAAATTAGGAGTAACATTCAGCAGTGTCTACGTTTAAATATGAGTTTATACCATGAGATACGACATTTAATACTCTACATTTCTGTGTAATTTTATGGGTGTAGGTAGATCCAGTGCGGCGCAAACGAAATTCTGGCGCAATGTTCACTTTTCCAGGAAGTTTAATGACGCTCTAATGATACCCCAGGACCTTCATTAAGTTAATGACGCACTAATGACAACAGAGCATCATTAAAACCTTAGTACAACAGAATTTTATGATACATTAGTTAATGAACGTTTAATGGCACGTAAATGCTTCATTAAAGTTTGATACAACCGGGTCCAGGTATAGAGGGTACAGAGGCCATGAAGATCCAGAACTTGTTGTAAGAAGCGACTAACCTGATCCGGTTGTCAGACTTACGGACATGGGTGCCGTTGTACAAAATAACCTTAGCACTAAGCCTACCTTAAGTCTATGTTGAGATATGGGAGTTACGGTCACCTTAGCACTAAGACTACCTTAAGTCTATGTTGAGGTATGGGAGTTACGGTCACCTTAGCACTAAGACTGCCTTAAGTCTATGTTGAGATATGGGAGTTACGGTCACCTTAGCGCTAAGACTACCTTAGGTCTATGTTGAAGTATGGGAGTTACTGTCACCTTAGCACTAAGACTACCTTAAGTCTATGTTGAGGTATGGGAGTTACGGTCACCTTAGCACTAAGACTACCTTAAGTCTATGTTGAGGTATGGGAGTTACGGTCACCTTAGCACTAAGACTACCTTAAGTCTATGTTGAGGTATGGGAGTTACGGTCACCTTATCACTAAGACTACCTTAAGTCTATGTTGAGGTATGGGAGTTACGGTCACCTTAGCACTAAGACTACCTTAAGTCTATGTTGAGGTATAGGAGTTACGGTCACCTTAGAACTAAGACTACCTTAAGCCTATGTTGAGGTATGGGAGTTACGGTCACCTTAGTGCTAAGACTACCTTAAGTCTATGCTGAAGTATGGGAGTTACGGTCACCTTAGTGCTAAGACTACCTTAAGTCTATGTTGAGGTATGGGAGTTACGGTCATCTTAGCACTAAGACTACCTTAAGTCTATGTTGAGGTATGGGAGTAACGGTCACCTTAGCACTAAGACTACCTTAAGTCTATGTTGAGGTATGGGAGTTACGGTCACCTTAGCACTAAGACTGCCTTAAGTCTATGTTGAGGTATGGGAGTTACGGTCACCTTAGCACTAAGACTACCTTAAGTCTATGTTGAGGTATGGGAGTTACGGTCACCTTAGCACTAAGACTACCTTAAGTCTATGTTGAGGTATGGGAGTTACGGTCACCTTAGCACTAAGACTACCTTAAGTCTATGTTGAGGTATGGGAGTTACGGTCACCTTATCACTAAGACTACCTTAAGTCTATGTTGAGGTATAGGAGTTACGGTCACCTTAGCACTAAGACTACCTTAAGTCTATGTTGAGGTATGAGAGTTACGGTCACCTTAGAACTAAGACTACCTTAAGCCTATGTTAAGGTATGGGAGTTACGGTCACCTTAGCACTAAGACTACCTTAAGCCTATGTTGAGGTATAGGAGTTACTGTCACCTTAGCACTAAGACTACCTTAAGTCTATGTTGAGGTATGGGAGTTACGGTCACCTTAGCACTAAGACTACCTTAAGTCTATGTTGAGGTATAGGACTTACGGTCACCTTAGAACTAAGACTACCTTAAGTCTATGTTGAGGTATGGGAGTTACGGTCACATTAGGACTAAGACTACCTTAAGTCTATGTTGAGGTATGGGAGTTACGGTCACATTAGGACTAAGACTACCTTAAGTCTATGTTGAGGTATGAGAGTTACGGTCACTTTAGAGCTAAGATCGGTTTGTACAACGGCACCATGGTTGACTAATGTCATCGTATCCCGATTGCGTAGATCGATGTTCATGCTGTTGATCACTGGATTGTCTGGTCGATTGTTTACAGACCGCCGCCATATAGCTGGAATATTGCTGAGTGCGACGTAAAACTAAACTCACTCACTCACTATCATAACACAAGACAATGATGGCATTATGTTTGCGCCTGTGTGTGTATGCTAAAATACCGTCTCAAAGCCATTTCACGTGTTTTATATGACAAAAACTATGTGTTGATACATGGCATACGGCAATGCAAAGAACAAGAGTGCAGAACTTGAATGACAAGAGAATCAGTGAGAGTCAGGTAGAATGACGTATATTCTGGATATCACTGCATCATAATAGCCCAAGTTTACGGATGAAAATTATCAAACTCATCGAAATCGGAACAGGCCAAGGAAATGTGCCTGTCAGTTATTTGCAATGATGAATAGGCGTGCAGTCAGCTGTTGCTGTACAGAATAGTTTCCGATTGACTCACCACGTCTAGTATATCACAGAAAGAGTGATTGATTCTGCTCAGGTCATGAGTCGGGATGTACAATTGCTTCTAGTGTTAATGGTCACAAACAATGGTTACTGCCAGTAGGATGACTGATGATTATTGACGGCAGGTGCTTGCTATCAGCTGTTGGAAAGTGACGAGGGAATCACAGTCGAGTTGTACAGAGTTGGATCATGGTGAAGGTAGGCTTGAGTGTGTATGTATTTCTATGTGTGAGTGGATGCATGTGTGAGCACGTGTGTTTGCGTACACGTGTTTATGTTTCCATTGTAAATATATATGATTTGAAACATCTATTTATGAATTTGTATTGTTTCACCATCTTCTCATACATGCTTGACTCAATCATCGGTTAGCACAAACAATGTCTTTGTTAGAAAATGCAAATTACAAAAGTAGATTATTATTTTCCTTGGAAGCAACAACGCCTGTAATTCATCAAGGAAAACTCTGTCCTGCGCATTCTTATCACTCCCTGTTCAGTTATATATTAACCGACGCAGTATTTGCAACTGTCTGTTATGTACTGCACGACAGTGTAATCTTCTGGAATAGATAGAACCTTTTGAGCAAGCTGGTATTTCTGGTCAGAAACAGTGTGGCGCAGAATAGTTGTAAGTTCTATCTTCTCTTACGAAGAAACTCAATGGAAATTGAGACTCTCCATAAGAGAAGATATGCCCAGATATGCTGTAATCCATCTAACACCGAGTCTACATAACCTTTACAATCTAATGCATCTACATACAGAATATAACGCCCACATACAACTTGCTACACAAGTCGGTTCAAGAGCCAAATCCTCTACACAATGCACGCTCTGTTATAAGCACTGCTATGGCCATCATGCCCATGTCATGTTACATTGTGAATCTACAATGTGCCAAAGACATCATTTCTATATGGCATTACTTGACCTACTGGATGCAGATGGAGATGTATTAACTGAAACGTTAGATGATGAAGATGCCCTTGTACTCGTTTGTGGTGCAAACCTGCACATCCCTGACCTTAATGAAACAGCATGCAAACCATCATGCTACGTTTTCTGAGTATATCTATTCTTTTACGGATTCTTTGATCTATACTTTCTAACTATAGTTGTTGACAATATCCGTGCTCTGGTGTTATATCTATGCAATCTTCTAATATCTTTTGCAGGAAATTCATTCATTCATTCATTCGTTCATTCATTCATTCATTCCAGGTGAAGAGATGGAAGTGCATCTTTGCTCTTCTCGTACTCGTGACTGTAACTGGTTTGATGAGTCTCAATATCCAGAACTATATACCCATGTCATATAAAATAAATATGGCCCTTAGGACCAATAGCAGCCCTTCCATGGCCATGTACAGCGCACGTGTCCACACACAAATAACGGATGGCCTTGAACACACTGAGGATGACAACGAAGCAGTGGCAGAAGGGGACCTTCTACTGCAGCAACTATCTGCAGGCGACGTTACCCACATCAGCCAGGCTTGTCCCTGGAACAGCGGGACGCCGCCACTTGACGACAAGATGAAGACGAAGTATGAAATACATGATCTATTCCGATTGGTAAGCGTTTCATTTTTTCATCATTAGTGTATTCTAACGCTGATCACTGATATAATCCAGTTTCATATTTGTATTTTATTGTATTATTTTCAACACAGTATCTGCATTCGAGAACTTGGTGAGTAAATAACGAAAAATAGGTGTTTATGGAGACCATATGTATCCGACCTTGTATTAACTCTCCACCCGACCTCATCCAAATATATTCTGCTTGATACCAGTTACCCGTTGTTATTGTTAGACAGGTGCTTGTCTCTGCTTGATACCAGTTACCCGTTGTTATTGTTAGACAGGTGCTTGTCTCTGCTTGATACCAGTTACCCGTTGTTATTGTTAGACGGCTGCTTGTCTCTGCTTGATACCAGTTACCCGTTGTTCTTGTTAGACAGGTGCTTGTCTCTGCTTGATACCAGTTACCCGTTGTTCTTGTTAGACAGGTGCTTGTCTCTGCTTGATACCAGTTACCCGTTGTTAGTGTTAGACGGCTGCTTGTCTCTGCTTGATACCAGTTACCCGTTGTTATTGTTAGACAGGTGCTTGTCTCTGCTTGATACCAGTTACCCGTTGTTATTGTTAGACGGCTGCTTGTCTCTGCTTGATACCAGTTACCCGTTGTTATTGTTAGACAGGTGCTTGTCTCTGCTTGATACCAGTTACCCGTTGTTATTGTTAGACAGCTGCTTGTCTCTGCTTGATACCAGTTACCCGTTGTTATTGTTAGACAGGTGCTTGTCTCTGCTTGATACCAGTTACCCGTTGTTATTGTTAGACGGCTGCTTGTCTCTGCTTGATACCAGTTACCCGTTGTTATTGTTAGACAGGTGCTTGTCTCTGCTTGATACCAGTTACCCGTTGTTATTGTTAGACAGGTGCTTGTCTCTGCTTGATACCAGTTACCCGTTGTTATTGTTAGACGGCTGCTTGTCTCTGCTTGATACCAGTTACCCGTTGTTCTTGTTAGACAGGTGCTTGTCTCTGCTTGATACCAGTTACCCGTTGTTCTTGTTAGACAGGTGCTTGTCTCTGCTTGATACCAGTTACCCGTTGTTAGTGTTAGACGGCTGCTTGTCTCTGCTTGATACCAGTTACCCGTTGTTATTGTTAGACAGGTGCTTGTCTCTGCTTGATACCAGTTACCCGTTGTTATTGTTAGACGGCTGCTTGTCTCTGCTTGATACCAGTTACCCGTTGTTATTGTTAGACAGGTGTTTGTCTCTGCTTGATACCAGTTACCCGTTGTTATTGTTAGACAGCTGCTTGTCTCTGCTTGATACCAGTTACCCGTTGTTATTGTTAGACAGGTGCTTGTCTCTGCTTGATACCAGTTACCCGTTGTTATTGTTAGACGGCTGCTTGTCTCTGCATCTACTGCCCATCACCCGGTTGTGGTCACTTCTAGACTGATAACATTGTAATAATCTACATCGAAACGTCGCCCTGTGCAAAAATCGTAAACTAGCGTCAAAAAGAAACGCCACCAAAATATAAAGATTGTAAATTATTAAAAATAATTGTCAATCTGTTCGAAAAGAGCTAAAAACACATCTCTCGAACACAACCTGTCTATTACCAGTGAACACTTGCACATGAATTTCGTATTTAGTGAAAGAAAAACGAATACACACGCGTAAAATGGAAGCTGTGCACAAAGTTACCCGTGTAAAATTAGGGTATAAAAGTTGACCAGGTTATTCTCTTTCATCATGTTAATTGATTGACAACCAGGAACACGCCTCGTTTAACAGCAGAGCAGAGGGAGAGCGCAATCAGTATGCTACAGATGGGAGCAACACAAGGTCATATGGTTAGGACCATGGGATGCTGCAAATCCACCATTGTCAGACTTGTCACACGGCTACCACAGACTGACAGTACTGCAGACAGGCCAAGGAGTGGTAGACCGAAGACGACTACCCAACAAGACGACCGGTATTTACGGGGGTTTCACCTCAGGAACCGATATGTCACTATGGCGTCATCAAGCGCCAACAGCCTTGAACATCCAGTCAGCAGACAGACTGTGACCAGAAGACTCCGCCATCATGGTATCCGTGCATATCGACCTTTCAAGGGCATGACGTTGACGTGACAACACCGACGTGCCAAACTGAGATGGACCAGGACTGTGCCACACTGGCAGCAGGTTCCAGCTCTTCAAGTCAGACGGACGAGGTCGCCCGATCTGTCCCCACTTGAGCATGTTTGGGACCAATTTTGACGCCGTATTCTGAAAGGTACCGCCATACGATGTCTGTCTTTGGAAAGTTTGTTAACGCTTATACTTCCTGTCCAAATTGAAATGCCAAAATCAGCCACTGACGAGGAACTTTGGCAGTTGCCCTGCAAGAGGAATGGCGTCGGGTGCCTAATCAAGAGGTCAGAAGAGTCGGGCCTGCACCACTGCTAGGAGTGTCCACACCCGGTATTAAACAATATGTGCTGCCCAGAAAGTTGTAACAACTCCCAGTCGATTCTACTGATCGAATACTGGACAATGCACCCCAAAGTCATTCATGTGCCATCAGATCACGAGCCTCGTCGATTTTCTTCTTGTTATCCATTAACAATGTTGCTGAATGATTGCTTTTTACAATAAAACATTTAATGTTACCATAATTTACTTTTGTTTTGTTTTAGACCAGAAATATATTTGGTGGCGATTTTTTTTCAGGACGCTACTTAAGTTGTTTGTACAGTAATCGCTCTTGACAGATGACTGGTGTGTGAAGTGCAAGTTTTACTTTCAAACCAAAAAATAGAAAAGGCTGGAAACACACGCTAACAAACGTGTGATGCAAGATGATTGTCACGATTAATGGCCTACAGTGATTTATCGACCCTTTTGAAAATCGTCAATGAATGATATACCATGCACGTGTATGGGGCTACTGCGTTGTGCACGTGCATTCCGATGCGTTGTATTTAGGGTTGGTGATAAAGAGAAACGGGAGTGCGTCATTATACTTCCTATCCCAATTGAAAGGTTTCCCTGCTTTTTTGAAGAGTATACATGACTAGTACTCTCATTGATGGTGTGTACTGTGCTCTCTACAGCTGGTCATTACCTTGCTGTCGGCATCAACGTATGCAATGTATTGGGAAATGCTGTAAACCTTTACATCGATTCGGTTACTGTCTGTATTAAATGCGTTTTTCTCCAAAGTGACGTTGATACAACGTGCGGCTTTTTTATGGCATAAAAGGCCTTTCGTCTGACTGCAAAACGTACTTCATAAGTTAACGAGAAAGTGCCGTTGAAATGATGATTTATTCATGTGATTTTGTTGACGGACAACTTACAGAACTCCTGGTCAACCCCGGGAAATTCTCTTGCATATTTATAGACAGACGTGTTGTTGTGTCGGCAAGAAAATCGTTCAACCCACAACAAAAGGTTGTCGCATGCATTGGGAAAGGTCAGAGAGTTCAAATATTTCCACTTTCAAGATTATCTTCGGTGCACACCAATCCAAGGGAATAGCTCGAAGAAAGTTAGACACATATGCTAGACAAACTTTCTGATCAGGAGTTAATGGTCGACCACCTCATTAGTGACAATTAACATTTACAATTGCCGCAGGTGTATGAGCAACACCCATAAGTCTGAATTGCTACGTAGGTCTTGTCTGACGTTTGATTTTGTTTTAAATGTAAATGTATTCGAAAGCGCTATCGTTTTGACTGAAGTAGTTGTTAGATATTTGGTCAGACAAATGATATCTTCCTGCAGGGCATTAAAACGCGAGATCGCCAGATCGCGAGAACGCTAGAAAATGAAATGTCGCATTCTCGCGTTCTCGCAATTTCGTGTTTTTGTGGCCCTATTTGACAAGTCGAGATTGCGAGATTGCGAGATTTGACAGCATGTACAAATGTCGCATTCTCGCGATCTCGACTTTTGACAAAATGTGCTATGTACCAAAAACACGAGAATGCGAGATCGCGAGAACGCGAGATTTTGGCCAAATCTCGCGTTCTCGCGATCTCGCATTCTCGCACTTTTAGCATTTTTAGCTTGTTTCCAAAGGTCGAGATCGCGAAAATGCGAGATCGCGAGAATGTCCCTTACAGTATTCCATAATTATGACTTTACTTATGCACATGTAACCTCACCTTTTGATAAACTGTTGTATTTTATTACAGGTGTTTGTTGTATGGCTGTCAGTGTAAATACTAGGGCACACGTATTGCATAAACATTGACGGAAAACTTGCAGATATATTTATATACATAAGTGTTATTTCTTATCACGAAAATCACTTAACCTTCAGCTTAGAGTTGTCCAACATTTTTGTCCATGTTTGTTGTATGGCTGTCAGTGTAAATACTAAGGCACACGTATTGGATTACATGAATTTATGTAATACATCCCACGGGTATGAAATTGTGGAATAAAACATTATACGAACTAATTTTACTGACAGTGAGTTTACTGGAGTAGGCAACTTCCAATGACCTCGATCAAAGTGAAAGTTATGTTATTCCCAAATAAAGTGAAAAGGTGTCAACATGCATTCATAGGACAGAGTCTCTTCCTATGGTGTTTCATGACTAGATATTGTCTCCAACAAACTGCTTGATCTGTTTGCTTTGACGGGCCCCTCTCCTTATTTCAGAAGACATCCGAATTTTTGTCCAATTATAAAAATCCTTGTTGGAGGAAAGAAAACACCAGGCAGGTACTCTGTCTGCCGTACTTCTATGTAGTTGGGTTTCCCAAGTGCGGGTCAACCTTCACCTTCAGCACTATTGTGGGTCACCCGGAAGTGGCTAAGCCTCAGTTCAAAGAGACACAGTGGATTGCGAGGAGAAGATTTGATGGTAATCCCATGTATTTCCCAACTAAGTGACTTTATATGCTTGCACGCTGCTTATAGCAATAATTTCCAGTAATATTACGGCGGGGACAGGAGAAACAGGCTTGATTTCTCGTACATGAACATTCACCTGAAAATGGACTTCTGCCTGTAGCAGCAAAATACTCCAAGTGTCGTTGGACTAAGGGTGATCGATCGTAAATCCCATTCTTCACATTGGCTTACGACTGCCGTCGCACAAAGATTGTTGTGCGCAATGGTGTAGTTTTAAACATTTTTATCCCTGGGCTGTAAAGAATGATTATAATTTTATGTATATACATAAAATTCCAATGTGTAACTCATTAAATCGAATTAGACGTGTGTTGGAAATCTGGTTTTACGAAACATATAGATGCTTTGCATGGGGAAGGGTAACTTCAGCTATTCTGACATGTATACATGCACGTGTCTCCTGATACACAGCGATATAGTAGCATTATTAAAAATTACATGCACTCACACACGCACACACATACGCACGCGCACTCACACACTGTGGTACAAAACTTTTATTTTCTTCTCTTTTTAGGTAGCTCAAATTTGGATGAATTCTTGGACATGTTTTCCTCAGCTACAAGAATAATAGAAAAAAACATGGTTACTGACAACAACACGGGCAAAACATTCCACCCTATGATCACAGGTACGGCACAAGTCATTTACCATCTCTTCTAAGTAAACAAGCATGTGCTCTCTTGCAAAGGCCTACTTATGGAAGGGTTCAAAGGCCCTCCATTCTGAACGTGTAACAAATATTACTTGCTAAAAACTACTCATAGTCTTACACACTGTACATAGTCTTCCAATAGGAACCTGACGATTACCCCGGACTGAGACCGAGGACACGTGCAGTACACTTACCACAACATATTTGCACTTGACTGGACTCACTAAGTCCTTCTTTGAAATGGGCCCACGTTTCCATTATTGGTAGTCAGCATACATCTCCCAGTGTGGAAACACTGAAAACAATGCTGAAACATGTTCAGTATTTAATTAAGTAATTAAGTTTAATTTCATTATTCAATCACTGACTGTCCGTTATTTATGTTAATTCTCATTATTTAGTTGTAATTCACATTATAAAATATAGCACCTCAGAGCAAGAGAATACCGTGTCTTGACCACTAGTATCCCCAGGAACCAGTTCCTTCCGGCGTTAACTGAACATAGCTCCGACAGTTATAACACCAGGTCTCCTGCCCTACCGGTGGCTCCCCACTTCACAAAATGTCCTGAAAATGGAAGTTTGACGCCACCCAGCAATACTCCTGTCATGCGGCGACAGACTGTAAACAAACCACACAATCAGGTGATCACTGGACCGAAAAAAGTAGAAATACCAGACAGTTAGATCATTTTGATTTACGTCAGCTCTGCATAAGTGCAGAGCGAACGTTGTTTCTGAATAAACAAAAGATGGGATTGCAGAGGAACCGGCAGTGTAGAGCCAATGGCAACCTCACGCTAGCCAGAAAAGCTATTTTGTGAGGAATATGACAGGTTTGTCAGGAGAGAACGGGTTTCAAGAGACAGAACAAAGCGGTTTGAGATTCGGAACCGTATTCCCGATACAGCCCGTTTGTTATTCTTAAAAATCCCAGCCTGAAAAAGCTTACCGCTAAATGCAAGGCCTCAGTAAAGTTGTAAGAAAGAGTTATGGTACATTTCCAATAGGACATTTCCAGATTTTGAGGAGAAAACTCCAGTCCAATGCATTTCCAGTTTTGACTGTAGCCCTATGTTACCGTGTTTCCAAGGTGTATAACTGTCATGACGTTGCATGTGTTTATGATGTTGTGTGGTGTTCGTGGGTTAAGACATTATGCTTCTTAACTAGCTCATTATCCTTCATAAACACACGGTGCGATACAGCTGGAGTCGGACAATGACTTCACAGAGGTTCCAGCTGACTGAGGGAATAGTTGAGGTACCTTGATCTATAGATGGCATGCGTATACATCTCAGGGTCTCATTTGGATGACAGTTCCTTTGATCGCTGACTTTGTGTCTTGTCAGTTGAGAGCTTCACACCGAGATTCTCCCACATGTCACATTTAATCGCTTTCTGTTTGGCATGGTGCCTCTAGCGGCCATTGGAGCTTGTTTACTTTAGTCGGAGAAGTACACAACTGCGTGATGTACATGACGACTTGTTGGACTTTCACTGTATTGAAGAATCAGTGGCTGAGTGTGTTTAGATCACTAACTGTGTATATTTAGATCACTGACTTCGTGTGTTTAGATCACTGACTTCGTGTTTTTAGATCACTGACTTCGTGTTTTTAGATCACTAACTTCGTGTGTTTAGATCACTGACTTCGTATGTTTAGATCACTGACTTCGTATGTTTAGATCGCTAACTTCGTATGTTTAGATCACTGACTTCGTGTGTTTAGATCACTGACTTCGTGTGTTTAGACAACTAACTTCGTGTGTTTAGATCGCTAACTTCGTGTTTTTAGATCACTGACTGCGTATGTTTAGATCACTAACTTCGTGTGTTTAGATCACTAACTTCGTGTGTTTAGATCGCTAACTTCGTGTTTTTAGATCACTGACTGCGTGTGTTTAGATCACTGACTTCGTGTGTTTAGATCACTGACTTCGTGTGTTTAGATCACTGTCTTCGTGTGCTTAGATCACTGACTTCGTGTGTTTTGATCACGCACTTCGTGTGTTTAGGATAAGGTGCCTCACACTCATCATCAGTTTGTGTGGAATATCATCATCAGTTTGTGTGGAATATCGTCATCAGTTTGTGTGGAATATCGTCATCAGTTTTGTGGAATATCATCATCAGTTTGTGTGGAATATCATCATCAGTTTGTGTGGAATATCGTCATCAGTTTGTGTGGAATATCATCATCAGTTTGTGTTGAATATCGTCATCAGTTTGTGTGGAATATCGTGTGGAATATCACCATCAGTTTATGTGGAATATCGTCATCAGTTTGTGTGTTTGTGTGGAATATCGTCATCAGTTTGTGTGGAATATCGTCATCAGTTTGTGTGTTTGTGTGGAATATCGTCATCAGTTTGTGTGGAATATCGTCATCAGTTTGTGTGGAACCACGGATAAGGGTAAATAGTTACGTGGACGCCTTCATCGTCCCCACAATGGCTGTATTGGACTGTATACTGATAACAACCCCTCTTATCACAAGGGGAGGGCTCTCCTTCCACAGCCTGGCAGAACTCACACTGGCGTCACCTCCCTGGGAACTATAACTGCACGGAGCCTCGTGTCCTCAACCCTCACTACATCTACCACCTGAACCCCGCCACCAAGATCATCATCGTCATCAGGAACCCCACTGATATGTGAGTATCTCCTGTACACTTCACGATCTTCTTACCCTATTTTCTGTACATGGTACAGTTACACAGCAATTACAGATAACGCTACTAGAATGTATCACACTGTAATATACGTTATTTATTCATCGTTACATATGTATAACATATATATTGCACCATTCATTATGGTTAAGATCATCTGGGGCGGTGGGGTAGCCTAGTGGTTAAAGCGTTGGCTCGTCACTCCAAAGACCCGGGTTCGAATCCCCACATGGGTACAATGTGTGAAGCCAATTTCTGGTGTCCCTCGCCGTGATGTTGTTGGAATATTGCTAAAAGCGGCGTAAAACCAAACTCAGTCAGTCAGTCAGTAAGATCATCTTTCGTCACACCAAAGCCTCGGGATCGATTACTCTCATGAAAGTACATTAGGAAACCCATATCTGGTATCCAGTGCCGCCATGCTGTTTACAAGTAAGCGGCATGAAACACAGACTCAAGCCAGCAATAGTTATACACGCTACAAATTGGTGTGTCTGTTTGTGTGTGTGTACTGCATGATCGAGGACTCTAAGTTATCGTGTCTGGCATGACAATCTTAACTATCACAAAGAGCAACGACCGTACTTCGGGCCCACCGTGTCTGGCTTGAGTGAGTGAGTGAGTTTGCTTTTACGCCGCGTTTAGCAATATTCCAGCAATATCACGGCGGGGTCACCAGAAATGGGCTTCACACATTGTACCCATGTGGGGAATTGAACCCGGGCCTTCGGCGTGACGAGCGAACGCTTTAACCACTAGGCTACTCCACCGCCCCTGTCTGGCTTGACAACCTTAACTATCACCATGACAACGACCGTACTTCGGTTCCATTATGTTGACTCGTATTACCAGAACGTGTTCCTGGGTAGGATTCCTAATACGGCATCACCACCGGTGACATATCTATTTACTTTGCACCGTCTAAATATCGATGACTGATTCAGGAGGATTTCTGAGTACAACTTCTTCAATCGCCATCACCCAACGGCAGAGAAGTTCCATGAGGAAATGGTTGATGGCATACAGAAGTTTGAAGGTTGTCTTTCACGGTTTCCCCTAAGGACCTGTGCATACAACAATAGTGAGATAATGAGAGTGAGTCGTGGGCTGGTAGTTGTTTAAGAAACGTGCAAGACCACGTGACATATACACCTGGCTAAAGGTTCAACACCCCCAATAAGGTTGACAAAGCTGTATGTTTCTGTAAGATCATGTCTTGACTACAAGAGACAACGCAAACGGACAGCTTCCTTCAAAGATATGATAATTGATATATGGCAAATTACACAAATCATCTGTTTTGGCTCTACATGAATCCTGTCACATTTTGAGCTACAGAGAGGATCATTCGTTTATGTTATGAGACAAATATGTTAATTTGTAACCTGGGAATGTTGGCCAGTCAATATCTAGTGTAGCCACATCAGTTAACGAAAGTGTACAGACACTGGTGATGTTGACAGTTACGTCACGTACATCCTTTTTCCGTTGTCAGACGCCGATCGGCCTATACCACGTGTTCATCAGTGACTGGATGAAGGTGTTTCCCCGGGAACAGATCTTACTCGTCAGATTGGAAGACACGCACGATGATCCTTATTCAAGCTTCTCAAATATATTTGAGTTTCTTGGCCTGAGTAAAATATAGTTTTCAGACTCTTTCAAGATTGGGGTAAACATTAGGCTCGGCTTAAGGTGTTCAAATGATGATGACTGATTAATTATGACCTCGTATCAATCAATCAATCAATCATTTTATTCTCAAATAACCACTGTTGATTGTGCAAGAGCAAATACAATTATTTTACATATAAAAACAAATGAAACAGATACGTAATTATGAATAATATCTATAAATACAAAATATAAGACAAGGTGGCTGTAACTACTATACCGGGCTGTTTAAATCGTTTTTGGGGATATTGTCTCTTCAAACACAGATGTCCATCAGTGGGTCCACAACACTTTATTCGGCAGCTAAGTTTGTAATTACATGATAGTGAAGCAACGGCCAGGCAGCATCACAGAGGCGATCGTCAGCCCACCTGCCTAGCCGCTGTCCGAGGGTCAAGTCCCCTTACATTAAGATTTCATTGTCTATATACTACTGACTGTCAGGCTGCCCTGTATCGTATTACGATACATGTATGGTCAACCTGCAGTATCCAGCATACACCTCATCCACAATGTTAAACTTCCGTGGCCAACCGGCCATACTCTAAGGCTCATTAGGGTTAATTACACGCTGGCAGCTGATCTGTACATGGCTGTCCTGATGGTCATGATAATAAGCTGCTGCTATTTCATGTATATTGTCAGCACTGTGATTTAGATGTAGATAACACAACTTTAACTTAACTCAGAGAGAATATACAAAAACATGTCTATATTTCCCGATAAAACCCATACCCCATCAAAGTGCCTACGACACTACTATAACAGTTTATGTTTCTGATAAAGGATGATACTTTTGATCCAAATTTTGATAAATTAGTGTCATTAGTAATATAATTTTAACAAATTTTTGCAGACTTTTGTTTTTGGAGATGATAATTGTATTTTTCTAGCATCACAAGGACTTTGACATTCACATATAATATGAAATTCATCAGCAATAGATGTAGATTGACAGTTTACGAGTTCTATGACAGCGTGGTATGTTCTCCCATCGGCCAGTTTCTATCGGTAGATTGTGGATAGATGTGGATGAATCTTAATAATAGAATATTTATTCGTTTTGTGGAAGATAGGTATGTGTCAACTAGTGGATTCTTGTTAAGGTATTGACAATAATATCCCTTTGAGCTTGAAGCAACATCATTTCGCCAGTCTACACTATCAGTTGTCCTACTTCCATTTTGTGGAAGCCGCGGTGGCTGAGCGGTCTAGGCGTATGACTTGGAGTGCTTAGGTGCCTGACTGTGATGGTGTGGGTTCGAATCCCGGATGGACTCAACCCCAAAAGTACTAGTATTTGTACTTTACTAAGAAACTGTAATCCCAAATATAACATACGTTATATCTTTTCTCCACTTTTGAATAAATTGATCTATAAGTATTTGCTCTACCTGTGAAGCAAGCCACTGGGTTGGACGGACTTTAACATAGGTTCAAGGAGCCGCCATGTTTGTTCGCTTTGTATGTACACGTGTAACGTCAGCATCTTTCTTCAACAGGTCACGTGTCTCGACTAGAGCTTCAAAACATCATGAGTGGAAGCAGGATGAATCAAAGAAAAAGGGCATTTACAGCAAAGAACGAGACTCGACGAATACTGGACGATTTTTTCAAACCACACAACATCCAGCTTGCAAAATTGTTGAACAACACCATCCCTATATATGGTTAGACATTCACATTCGTCGGGTGGTAGTAAAACAATTGCTTCTCCTGACGTCTGAGTGAGTGAGTGAGTGAGTTTAGTTTTACGCCGCACTCAGCAATATTCCAGCTATATGGCGGCGGTCTGTAAATAATCGAGTCTGGACCAGACAATCCAGTGATCAACAGCATGAACATCGATCTGCACAATTTGGAACCGATGACATGTGTCAACCAAGTCAGCGAGCCTGACCACCCGATCCCGTTAGTCGCCTCTTACGACAAGCATGGGTTGCTGGAGACCTATTCTACCCCGGATCTTCACGGGTCCCTGACGTGTGAGATTTCAGTGCACATTTCACCATGGCTTGTTAAAGGTGGTTTATCAACGTGACGGACACATAGACACAGTGTACTGACACCGACCTGACCTGTTGCTGTTTAATCCACTTACTGTCGACACCAGGCAGAGACCATTTTCTCTTTGTTTACCAAACAGTAGAAGTGTAAAACAAGAGTCACGACTCTCAATTAAACTACTTTAAACCATTACTAAACCTGCTGTCATGCCAGCCTACTACATACCACTCGCCATCTTGGAGAAGTTGCCAGCTGGGGAGGTTCCATGTTCCAGGCATTTTAGAAGTTGAGTTGGATGAGCAATGATGACAATGTTTTTGATAAAAGAAGTTGTATATCCATAATTGTGTCATCAGTCTTCATCTATTGATTTGTCAAGCTATCAAGAACAGTTTGGTATGCTTGATATTTTCTTAATGACGGGTACACGTATTGCACGTGATGCACGTGCATATCTAAAATCACTGTTTGGTGAGGGCTGGGGTGTTTGGCTTAGTAAAAATCATAAGTGTTCCGATATGTATGGATAAAGGGTTCACACTCATTTTCCAGGGTGACAACACTCCAACTGTCAAGGTATTAAAATATGGTTCGGGTTATTTTTTTTCAATTCAAATTGTGCTCATTATGGTCTATGATCTGACTTGTGTTCAGAGCGACTCTCGCGGCCGGGGGATCGGGAATGAGAAACCAGATTAAGTTAACAAAGGTTATAAAATACAGAGCTGCAAGTAAACAGATATTGTTGACTTGTTTACGTCTTGAAAGCATTACTCTACCAATCAAAATAGTATTAGTATTAGTATGGAATCCTTGGAGGGACATTGTCGCCTTGTCGCACTTTGGTTAATTTTACGACTTTTTGCTTAATTTCGTGAGGGTGACAAAGCGACAGTGCAACAATGAGACAATGTCCCTTCTAGGATTCCATATATTAGCGACTGTGACGGTAAACACAACATCATATCCCTGCAGAGAAGTTAGATATAAAGATACAATAAAACTTGTCAATAAAACGTGGAACTTGAGATATATTAACACTGGACATGATAAACCATTTCAATTCAACTCCTTCATCAGAGTGATTGAATTACTATTCGACGTCACGTGATCATTACGTCAGCCACATGGGCCAAGTCTACATATATTTACACTAGTTCAGTTTAAGTGCACAAGCACTTAAGTTGACAAATATTCATTATGGACACATTTCATCATTACAATACAATTTACAATTAAAAATACCAACTTTAATAAAAGAACGGGTACATTTGTCATATATATACATAGTTATAATTTATGATACAGATTAATTTCTCTCAAATAGCTTACAATGAGATGCCTCGGGTAAACAGTCCAGATTCACTGCTTGATGATGAACGCTTCAGATACACTGAGGATAATCTCTCACACACACACACACACACACACACACACACACACACACACACACACACACACACACACACATCCCCCCTGCAGGAACCCAGGAGTAAGTCAACTGTGGCCATATCGTCGTAAAATGCCCCCCTCGCGTCTTGACTGACAACCCAAGTAGGCCTGAACTCATGAAGCATATTTCTTCCTACCTGGATGCCCAACCTTCCTTCCTGGATGCCCCACCTTCCTACCTGGATGCCCCACCTTCCTTCCTGGATGCCCCACCTTCCTACCTGGATGCCCCACCTTCTTTCCTGGATGCCCCACCTTCCTTCCTGGATGCCCCACCTTCCTACCTGGATGCCCCGACTTCTTTCCTGGATGCCCCACCTTCCTACCTGGATGCCCCACCTTCCTTCCTGGATGCCCCACCTTCCTACCTGGATGCCCCACCTTCCTTTCTGGATGCCCCACCTTCCTACCTGGATGCCCCACCTTCCTTCCTGGATGCCCCACCTTCCTACCTGGATGCCCCACCTTCCTTCCTGGATGCCCCACCTTCCTACCTGGATGCCCCACCTTCCTACCTGGATGCCCCACCTTCCTTCCTGGATGCCCCACCTTCCTACGTGGATGCCCCACCTTCCTTCCTGGATGCCCCACCTTCCTACGTGGATGCCCCACCTTCCTTCCTGGATGCCCCACCTTCCTTCTACGTGGATGCCCCACCTTCCTACCTGGATGCCCCACCTTCCTTCCTGGATGCCCCACCTTCCTACCTGGATGCCCCACCTTCCTACCTGGATGCCCCACCTTCCTTCCTGGATGCCCCACCTTCCTACCTGGATGCCCCACCTTCCTTCCTGGATGCCCCACCTTCCTACCTGGATGCCCCACCTTCCTTCCTGGATGCCCCACCTTCCTTCCTGGATGCCCCACCTTCCTTCCTGGATGCCCCACCTTCCTTCCTGGATGCCCCACCTTCCTACGTGGATGCCCCACCTTCCTACGTGGATGCCCCACCTTCCTTCCTGGATGCCCCACCTTCCTTCCTGGATGCCCCACCTTCCTTCCTGGATGCCCCACCTTCCTTCCTGGATGCCCCACCTTCCTACCTGGATGCCCCACCTTATCATACGGTCTCGGATATAACTGTTGATAGCGGGTTTGAAATCAGTATTCGGGATAAGCAGTGACGATGGCGGTTTGTCCAGAGCTGGTTCAGCTGCAGCTTCAGCTATTGTGTTACCTATTGTGTTACCTGCTATTGTGTTACCTGCTATTGTGTTACCTGCTATGCCTACGTGACCTGGTAACAAGCAAACGACAATGCCATATTTGCCAGTAGAAAGATCGCTGTGAAGAAATGTCAATGATGATTCGAGGAGACACTTTGAACTGCCTGCAGGCAAGACAACAATTTTGAGGAGAATTTTAGAATGGTTGTGTTATTTGATACAGCTGTAAAGATAGTTTTGGCCTCAGCAGTGAAATTAAACTAATATCTGGCAATGTGAGGAGACAGTCTTGGATCCGTTGACTGTGGCAATCTTCTTTGGGTCCGTCTGTAAAAATGTATTTATGCGTGTTATTTATTTATTTATTTTTTATTTTTTTTATTCATCTTTTCTTTAGGTACAAAACCATGACATCAAGTAACAGTCAAATATAACCATGCGTTTGTATACATAGTTTGGCAAGCATATTATAACAAATGACATTGTAGGGAAATGGGTCGGTTGTACGTTAGTATTATCAAAACAATTGGTGACAATCAGACCAAACTCCAACAAATTTGGTAAAATTACAAGAAGAGATGGCATGTGTTCTCTCGATATTGTAAACTTTACTTATTTCATTTCTGACCATATCGAAGCTTGGTGTACAAGTATATGTTCGTATTCTAAAAAGAGTAAATTTGACAACTGTTATCAGGAGATTAAGGACATCGTTATTTTTTTCAGAGAATTTTCTTCGTATGGATATTCAATGTGATATCTGTTTTTCTTCTTATGGATATTCAATGTGATATCTGTTTTTGTTCTTATCCAATTGGGAAATTGTTTCCATATGTTTTTAGATTTTGGACAGTCGTAAAAGAGATGAATTCCGCTTCCTGGTGCATTTTTACAAAATGAGCATAACTTACTCTCTACATACCCCATCTTAAACAAAAGTAGGTTTATTGATGAGATTCTATGCACTGAAGAATATTGGAACCATCTAAAGTCTGAGTTTGTGTGAGCTCGAAATATAATCTTTTGATAAGATTTCCATTCCTTTTCACTTATATCTGTTTCAAGTTCATCTTCCCATTTCTTTTTATAGCTATACATAGCAGAGTCTGAAATTGGAATAAGTATATCATAATATGTCCTACAGCCTTTCTTGGTTTTAAAGATGTCCTGTATGTAATAAGGAAGAAATGGTAATTCAAGTTTTTCTCCAAATGATATGTTGTATGTTTTATAATATTGTTTGACTGATCTTACTAGGCTTCATATTCTAAGAAGTTCGTTTTTAAGTGGTTTCTAGTTTGCTCGGGAAATTTTGATATGTATACATTGTTCCATCAGTATCTATCAAGTTATTTACATATGTTATGCCTATTTTAGCGTAGTGTTGGTACACGAATGTTTTTTTATTCAAGAGAATTTGTTCATTGTGCCATAAACATTGCGATAGAATATCATTGCCCTGAACAACATTTTTATTTTGCAATGACGTATAGAAACCCAAGGCTAAAAGTGCGCTTTTCCAAAAACAGATTTGTTTTGTTTATAGCTCTTTGTTTCTCCCTTCAGCAGGATATCTGGTATGTTGTCATAGTTTCTGTATAATCCATTATGTCATATATTATGCGTGTTATGTTTAGAGCGTAATAGGCTGTATTCCTGTTAAAAAATCAGAAGTTTTGTTTTGGATGTTCAGGTTTGGTCAGAATTAGGTCTAAATCTGACTTCCCTATCTGCCAGGACGGACAAGGCAGGAGCAGGTATGGTTACTGAGATCAATCTGTCCTGCAGAGATGTCTGGTTAAATTCTGTTCCAGGCGGTGGATCCAGGATGGTTGGAAGCCTAAGTTAATGCTGGCTGTGATCTACATGAACACTGTTCAGTGATGTACTGCTGTGATCTATTTGAACACTGTTCAGTGATGAACTGCAGTGATCTATTTGAACACTGTTCAGTGATGTACTGCAGTGATCTATTTGAACACTGTTCAGTGATGTACTACAGTGATCTATTTGAACACTATTCAGTGATGTACTGCAGTGATCTATTGGAACACTGTTCATTGATGTACTGCAGTGATCTATTGGAACACTGTTCAGTGATGTACTGCAGTGATCTATTGGAACACTGTTCAGTGATGTACTGCAGTGATCTATTTGAACACTGTTCAGTGATGTACTGCAGTGACCTATTTGAACACTGTTCAGTGATGTACTGCAGTGATCTATTGGAACACTGTTCAGTGATGTACTGCAGTGATCTATTGGAACACTGTTCAGTGATGTACTGCAGTGATCTATTTGAACACTGTTCAGTGATGTACTGCAGTGATCTATTGGAACACTGTTCAGTGATGTACTGCAGTGATCTATTGGAACACTGTTCAGTGATGTACTGCAGTGATCTATTTGAACACTGTTCAGTGATGTACTGCAGTGATCTATTTGAACACTGTTCAGTGATGTACTGCAGTGATCTATTTGAACACTGTTCAGTGATGTACTGCAGTGATCCATTTGAACATTGTTCAGTGATGTACTGCAGTGATCTATTTGAACACTGTTCAGTGATGTACTGCAGTGATCTATTGGAACACTGTTCAGTGATGTACTGCAGTGATCTATTGGAACACTGTTCAGTGATGTACTGCAGTGATCTATTGGAACACTGTTCAGTGAAGTACTGCAGTGATCTATTTGAACACTGTTCAGTGATGTACTGCAGTGATCTATTTGAACATTGTTCAGTGATGTACTGCAGTGATCTTTTTGAACACTGTTCAGTGATGTACTGCAGTCATCTATTTGAACACCGTTCAGTGATGTACTGCAGTGATCTATTGGAACACTGTTCAGTGATGTACTGCTATGATCTACTTGAACACTGTTCAGTGATGTACTGCAGTGATCTAATTGAACACTGTTCAGTGATGTACTGCAGTGTTTTAATTGAACACTGTTCAGTGATGTACTGCAGTGATCTATTTGAACACTGTTCAGTGATGTACTGCAGTGATCTATTTGAACACTGTTCAGTGATGTACTGCAGTGATCTATTTGAACACTGTTCAGTGATGTACTGCAGTGATCTGTTTGAACACTGTTCAGTGATGTACTGCAGTGATCTATTTGAACACTGTTCAGTGATGTACTGCAGTGATCTAATTGAACATTGTTCAGTGATGTACTGCAGTGATCTAATTGAACACTGTTCAGTGATGTACTGCAGTGATCTATTGGAACACTGTTCAGTGATGTACTGCAGTGATCTATTGGAACACTGTTCAGTGATGTACTGCAGTGATCTATTGGAACACTGTTCAGTGATGTACTGCAGTGATCTATTGGAACACTGTTCAGTGATGTACTGCAGTGATATAATTGAACACTGTTCAGTGATGTACTGCATTTATCTATTGGAACACTGTTCAGTGATGTACTGCAGTGATATAATTGAACACTGTTCAGTGATGTACTGCAGTGATCTATTGGAACACTGTTCAGTGATGTACTGCAGTGATCTATTGGAACACTGTTCAGTGATGTACTGCAGTGATCTATTTGAACACTGTTCAGTGATGTACTGCAGTGATCTATTGGAACATTGTTCAGTGATGTACTGCAGTGATATAATTGAACACTGTTCAGTGATGTACTGCAGTGATCTAATTGAACACTGTTCAGTGATGTACTGCAGTGATCTATTTGAACACTGTTCAGTGATGTACTGCTGTGATCTATTTGAACACTGTTCAGTGATGCACTGCAGTGACCTATTTGAACACTGTTCAGTGATGTACTGCAGTGATCTATTGGAACACTGTTTAGTGATGTACTGCAGTGATGTAATTGAACACTGTTCAGTGATGTACTGCATTTATCTATTGGAACACTGTTCAGTGATGTACTGCAGTGATCTATTGGAACACTGTTCAGTGATGTACTGCAGTGATCTATTGGAACACTGTTCAGTGATGTACTGCAGTGATCTATTTGAACACTGTTCAGTGATGTACTGCAGTGATCTATTGGAACACTGTTCAGTGATGTACTGCAGTGATATAATTGAACACTGTTCAGTGATGTACTGCAGTGATCTAATTGAACACTGTTCAGTGATGTACTGCAGTGATCTATTGGAACACTGTACAGTGATGAACTGCAGTGAAAGTTTGAAGTATTGTGGTTTAAACATATTTATTTCATGAAAAAGCAAAGACAGAATTTTCATGAACTGGATTGGTCAACAAGCTCGAAAGAACTTATATGAAGACCGCTCCAATATACATAGATATATGAAACAGTATCATGACAAGAAAAGATGATATCTAAAATGAAAGTAGATGGTTTGAAAGTTTGAAGTATTGTTTAAGTGAAGGTTCGTCAGCCTCCTTATGCTAACTACAGCCGAGACCCTGAAAGCTCCACAAGAGAGCCTTAGGCCTTGGTGGTGGATAGAATAATTTTCTTTCTTTCTTCAGAGTCTTTTTCTATGATGTCTTTTGCATGCTCCACTAAAGACACCGAAGCCGTAATCTGGTTTAGAGCGAATGAATTACGTGTACAAGTGAAGGAGGGTTGACTGATTCCCTCCACACTTAGTATTTGATCTTGCTAGACTCAGATGGTGAAGGCCTCTCGTACTTGAAATTTGTATTTTGAAAGTTTAAAATTCGAGACATGAACTTAGGGAATCTGCGTCAGTCCAACAAATCTTTTAAAATGCCATGTTTGTAAGTCCAAAATGATTGAGACAGTATGTTGTTTATTGACAGTGGATTTTTTTTATAAATTCCGTTTCTATAAATTCCATTCCAGACGCCACCAAATGGTCAATGGTACTCCTGATGTTTTTTTGTGTTTTTTTCTTCGGGATCCACACTGGATGTTACTAAGGAGGTTTTTAGGGGGGGTTCCCGTTTTGCCGGACGCTTTTGTTATAGATAGAGATTCACTGATGC